AAGGCTTTACTTAGAATTTTACTAATGAAATGTATACATAATTTTTTTTTATTTGCTCTTTTATATATTAAGTTTGTCCACCCTAAAAATAAAGACTGGATCCACCCTTTTTTATGTCAGCACATTTATAATATTAGGAGCGCATTGCAACAAACATTTAGAATTACATCACTTGTTCACAATTTAAATACTCCTTTTATGTGTAAATAACCATAAAAAAATGAAATTAAAAATTACAAATGTTTCTTTCATCAAATAATGAAAATTATTCAATGCATGCCACATATCACAATACATTTAGAATCATATACACCTTAAAAATTTTACAATCTATTACAAATATTCTAATCCCTTAAAATTAGAATAAATATTTGAGTGCCACCACAGAGATCAGCAAGATTGACAAGGAGTGCACCATTGAGATCTTTGCAGCTGAATTAGGGAGAATCAATGGCCGTTGATTCTCCGGAGTGTCGTTAATGGACGGTGGAGATGCTATCGCAGATGGTGTTTGTGATGATGTAGTAATGGGCGGCGGTGGTGAGTCCACGTTAACAGAAGCTACAGCAAGAAAAATAAAGACAAAATAGAAATGATGAGATTGAATCTCAGCAATCCAATGTTGATCCTACGGCTATTGTAAAAGTGTAGATATCTTACGAAGAGGGGGCTGTGGGGGGAGCGGAGGAAGCGAAGGAGCATAGCTGACTGGCCCTGCAAAGTAAAGCTATATTAAAATTTGATGCATTAAGATTTTGTTTGGAATAGCTTTTTTATTATTCTGTAAAATTATTATAGTAAAAGAAATTTTTTAAAATTGTCATAGAAAGCAACTCTTTAATAAAAAATATTTTAAAAGCTGTAATTAGCGGTCGGATAAGCTGTTCCAAACAAAATTTATATAAAAAATAATATAGTTGTGTACCTGGGCCTGGAAGAGGAGCTCCAACAGCTGCAAACAAATGAAATCCAACATTATATAAACAAACATAAAAATTAATAGCTATATTTTAATAACGAGTGATACTAATAATTAAGAATTTATTTATCAAAAAAATGGATTTTTATTGAATTTAATGCATTTATATGAACATATATATCTCAAATAAAATTAGAGATCCAGGGTGTGT